GGACACTGTATATACAAAAACGATACTGTGTATCGTTAACGAGCAATATCGAATAATAACTACAATATCGTACGACTAGTCGCACAATATCGCACCCCCCCTTCAAAACTAACCTAACCTACCTATCGTCACATTAACCGTCAGTCATTGTTTATTAAAGTGTTCAACTTTTGTGTTAATGTGACGATAGGTTAGGTTAGGTTAGTTTTGAGGGGGGGTGCGGGAGGCGCAGCCTCCGCTAGTCATTCGATATTGCAGTTATTATTCGATATTGCTCGTTAACAGTACACAGTATCGTTTTTGTATATACAGTATCCAAAAATTATACTCACTTTGTGCAACTTCTTTTGTTAATAACTTTTTAACGAACAACGAGCGACGGCTAAAACCTTCTGAGAGTTACTCAGGAGGGTGACTTCTCCAATATATGTCAAGGTCAAGGTCATTGGAGCTAACTCTTCTATAGTCTATAATTACCGAAACTTCTTTTGTTAATAACTTTTTAATAAACAATGAGCGACGGCTAAAATTTTCTAAAGGTTATTTAGGAGAGTGTCCTTGATAATATATATCAAGATCAAGGTCATCGGAGGTGGGTTCCCTAAAGTAAATAATTACCGATGTTTTTGAAGTTAGTGGAAGTTCTATACAAGTTCCAAATCATACGATTAATATGATTTTGGTCTTAAAATCGGAAATACCACCTCTTTAAAGTAGACTAGAATAAAGAGAAAATATTGAAGATTTTTTGTTTATGAATAAATAACTGCAACAATTTTTCGTAAAAATAACACATTTTTTATTTGAAAGACTACAACTCACTCACAAAAATTTTTGTAATTTTTTTATTTTAATCTATATGAAGCACAAATCTCTATAGATTATAAAAACAATTTTGTTTCTTTTTCAGGTCATTTTTCAGCCTCTAAGAACTTCCACCAGCTGGCCATCTCGTTCCGCCGCATACTCCGCCCACCCAGCCCGTTCAGCTTGTCTATTATTTACATTGTCGTAGCGATTTGTTTGTTTAATTAAGATAAATTTAAATGTATTCCAAATTTTAGAATTTTATCTTTAATAGTTCTTTTTCTATAAATTCCAAAAAATTACCAATTTTCCCTGGCCAACAAAGTAGAAACCCCACTTAAAGGATAGCAATCTTTGACTTTAAGAGATTGACCATTTGTTACAGTAACATTGTTTCTCTCTATAGTCACCGTGCGCTCGGGATCGCGCCAGAGATGTCACTTCCGAACGGAAACTCTGAGCGTTATCTAGGGAGAGGATAGTGTCGTGAGCGTGAAATGTCAGATAGCTCAGTGGTTTAGAGCAGTTGCCCGGCAAGCGAAAGACTCGGGTTCGAGTCCCGGCCTAGCAAAACCGCGCTCTTGATATTGTTCTCTCTCTAGAACGAAAAAATACACAGATCGAAAAAATACACAGAACGAAAAAATACACAGATCTCGAACGCACGGCGTCCCGCCGCCACCTAGTACGCCTTCCTCTTTCTATGGTCCTTCGAAGATATCAAATACTTGTGCCTAGTATATTTTTTGCCCCTAGTGAAATTAATTCGTATTAACTCGAACTCATATTATCAAACACCCGATATGAAGTTGAATTTTGAAAAAGGAAAATACGCTATTCTGTATGATGTTTCCACAAATCATATTACGGATGTGAGAATGGCAATGTGCCATTTTCATGTTCGATCCCAAACAATATCTTTCTCATTATCCATATGGGGTCACTTGCTGGTGACAAAAGGAATCCGTCAAAAGCGTCACTGTGTATGTGAAAATTGAATTCGACTGCAATGATAATATATCGATGAATACCAACATACTGCCTCATTCTGCACGACTGTATTGTAGAATAAAGTCCTTTAACCAACATTGTGCGTAAAATCACATAAAAATTATAACATCAGCAAATAACCAGCGATTTGCTCAAAAGTCACGCTCGCACATGGTGAACAATTGTCTGTCTATTTCGCGCTAATCGACATATTTCATCAGCATGAATGTACCTATATTTGTGGACATGCAAGGACCGACGGTTGACAAGTTACCGTAAAAGAAATAGCAATACTGAGGAATGGTGCTGTTCTGTCGCACTACACCTTTATGAGTCTAATGCCGTGGCATGTTCTCATAAGAGCTGACAAATCGAAAGCAACTTGGTTGATCACCAAGGTTTGTAGTGGAAGGATAGAATCGTGCCGTACAACAAAGCAAAACGTTTGATCATAGACGCAATTATCAATGAAGAATTCAAACTATGTCTATGTCAAGGGATATAATAAGCGAGAGAATGCCTTGCAAATCTCCTCGACGATGATGCGAGGGACTAGGTGATTATTGAGACTCTGGACATAGATTATGGGGATATATCTTCATTGGAGAAACTGGATGCAATCAATATTTTACGATGTAATAATCACATTAAGTATTTTGCGTTACGAAGCATACTTAAGATATTCAATTGGTAGTGGATTCAGTGTTAGAGAGAATTGTTCAACTTTTAATATGCAAAATAAAAATTTATTTTTTAAATATACAAATGTTTTCTTTATCTTCCACCCCTTTACTTTATAACAGTTTGCAAAGATACTTATTAACGCTTACATCGTTTTACCATTTTGGTAAAATGTTTAATCTGTTACATTCTGGAGAAGAACGCAACGTGACGAAAAACCTCGGCCGTACACGCAGATCGAGCAACGAGTCAGCGACCAGAAGGCTCGTTTTACGCTCGTGTCGACGTACAGCGAGTGGTCCTTTTTCCGATCAGAGAACTGAATCTCTTTATCGCGGGACAGACTAAGAGCGGATAATCGGAGGAAAAGGGGATTGGAAAAAATGAAATTTGAAATGAAAATTGAAATTTTAAATAACACTAATTAATTACATTTATTCTTCGCAGCTCGTTACAAATTTATTCATCGCGGTTACAAATCGAAAGGTAACAGTAACAAAAATTATGGGCTACATGTGTGTGAATGTATGAGTATGCGTGTAGGCGTATGGCGTGTGGGTGAAAGTTAGTCTTTAGGATTTATATGTAGGAGACGAGAGAGAAGATGGATGTCAAAGGACGAAATCGAATTTTGAATTCATCATTACAATTAATTAACGCGGCAGGAATGACAAGAAAAAAAAGAAAAAATGAAAAACTTTCGGTGAATCGGATATGTAAAGCGAGTGTCAGAAGTGGTGCCAGAAGTTGAAGGAGTGATTCCAGAAGTAAAAGTAGAAGTAGTTATAGTAAGAGTAACAGACTAAATGTAAGAATGAAGTAGTGAAGTAGTAGAAGATCGCGGTTTTATAGCATCACATCATCCAACTAGGTGGGTGAAATACCGTAAAAGCAACGATTTTTATTTCCTTAATTTTTCCATATGCCTATAGTTTTGAACTTAACTTCATATTATTTATTGAAACTATATATTATAAGGATATTAGATTACATAGTATTCGTTTCTTTTTTACTATTTGTTTACTGTGACTTATTTCACTTTTTCGAATTGTGTGTTATAGAGTAAGCGAACCTATTTCGGAACAGATTTAAAAAATGCTGCTGCATCTTTTACATTAAGCCTTCTGAGATAAATCTGATATGTGCTAGTAAAAGGATTAATCTTTACTTACTAATTAGACATAAGCCAGTTTTTAAAGGAGGCTTTGTTTTGAAATAATAGACAAATGTTTCAAGTGCTAAATTTCTTCTGAATTAGGTTCACCTGCACCTAATTCGAAACAGCTGCTTTTGACTTGTGACTTACATATGTTAAACTATTAATATAAGAAATATTATACTAAATAATATTTTCTCCATTCTTGAAGGCCATGAGAGAAATTAGAGATGTTTTGAATTAGGTGCATGCACTTATTTCAGAACAAAACTTACTCAAAATTGCTCAATGTAAATTTATACATAATAAACAAAATTAAACAAAGAATTATAAATTTAGAAAATTTAGGGGGATACTGGGAAAATATTGTTCGAAAGAATATATTATAAATATTGTTCTCATTACATTTTGGATCACTCTAAAAAATAAAATTACTAAATTTTTAAAAGATACTTTTAAAGATAATAATTTTATTGATGAAGAAACTCAGAACAACATATTATATATTATATCTTAATTGATTGATTGTTAAACTTGAAAATTATATAAGATAAATGCATCTAATATTGCATATCTAACTTAAATATTTGTAAAAAAGAAAGGAATCAATATTTGTATATCACAATTGTCGCATTGTCTTCAAAATTTATCTAAAAAATAAGATATTAAAGATATTGTTATATCGACATGCATAGCAGATATAGTCGGAAAACTGAAAAATAGAAAAATTGCGATTCTATATAAGTAAAAAAATACTGTCAGTACTTTACATAAACATCGGCAATAATCATCGAAATGTCTAATATATGTCTATTCAAAACAAACGTCATATACGATATAAAATGCAAGTATTCTATGACTTAACTTTAAACGTCGACGGTTGCAAATACTTATTTTTAAGTATACCCGCATTTTACAACAACACAATTCCGTAGTCTAACTAAGCAACAGTTAACTTCCTTGAATCTTTAGCTGTTGTTTAAGCCCAAAAACATGACAGAATAGAAGCTTAATATGAGAAAAATATGTAAATATATACTTACTGTAATTCATCCCGTTCGAAGGCTTGCTATCACGAAGTCCAATAACTCAATCATAATATTGTCAATTGTTTTCTAATAGTCAGTGACCTATTTTCATGTCACAACGCTTATTTATGATGTTCTTTGTTATTAATATGAAAATTTGATATTATTTGACAACTAACACAGGAAAAAAATTAAAGTGTTTCGAAATAAGTGCTATTCCGAAATAGCACATAGAAATATTCACTCACTATATCATTCCACTTTCCCTTATTTATCATGTAAGTATTGATGTTGATTTATAATACTAGCCTAAAATTTAAATAATATAATTTTTTCAGGTGGTAGCAGTAGCACTACTTCTGTAACTTCCAATTCGACAATCGAGACTAAGCCTTCTTCGGCAATCTTAAACCCTTTATCGACTCAATACAGTCCAGTAGAGTCACCAGACTCAACAAAGCGGCGCAGTTATATTTCTCTAGGAAATAATTCGAGTAATAGCAAATCAAGTAGTAATTTAACTGGCAGTATTAAAAGTGACCAAGGAAAACTTAATCAAAATTCTGCTGTTAATTATCAGGTAATTAAAGTATTTTATAATAATTGTTCAAAGTGTTTGCTTTTATATGTGTGAAACTAAAACCGTTGCAAAATCCTGTACTGTTATTTGCGTTACATAATTATTAATATTACTTTAATTGTTACGTGTTTTAATTTCACAAGATAAAGTGATTAGATTAGATTTAGATGTATAGTTATTATTTAGATGTGTATTATCCTCTTTTATCCTCAACTGGAGCACTGGGATACACCTATGCTATATACAGACTGGGGTGTCTGACTTGTACCGTATCAGAGCTAATATATAGCTAAAATAGGTCGGAGTGAATAATGAAATCGGTGTTTTTTTTTAACAATCACGTAAAAATTTGAGTTATTAAATAAAATAGATAGGAAATAATATAACTAAAAAACTCTTCTTGAGTATATCAAAACAATAAATTAAGGACCATTAGAGTTAACGCACAGGTTGTATAGTGCTATTATAAACTATTAAACCATAGTGACACAATCTCGCAATGAGAACAAATTTCATTAAAAATCATACGCGTTTCGGTCTCATTTCGCAGACCCTCTTCAGTGATAACAAGAGTTGGTATAGTGTCGCAAAAAATAAAATATCGCAAAAGTCGGCGCTAACATTGGTTGTCATAACATAGTCGCTACAAAATCTTTTGTCTACGGGACTCAGAGGCACAAACATAATCTATCAATTACAACAATGAGTTGTTTCATTTTTCCGAAGCTACGAAAATAGATAGGCTAATCAGAACGTGCGACGCGACAGGCAGGCCATACGGCTCGCTGCGGCCGGCGAAGAAAATGGACGACTACTCGCGGGCCTATCTCATAGACTAGAAAGGTGAGCTATTTGGTAGCTGCTTACCATTTCACGTGATTGTTTAAAAAAAGACACTATTTCACCGATTCTATTCTATTTCATTGTATAAAAGTGCTAGGCAAGCACAAATCGTAAAGGTGAATGGGATTGGCGTAGGAGGTAAAAAAAAGTTTCGTATCTCCAATACTAATTTCGACCATAGGAGGCTCCGAAAATCGAATAGAAATTTCTCATAGTCGTGATTTGTCAGTCTAAGGGTGTACTACATCCAGAGTTCCAGAAACACAAATCTTCGAAAATCTCGTTCTAATAATTTAAGAATTTTTATGTATAATAAGTTTAGATTTATCGTTAAGAAGTAAAAATAGATTTATAGCATTTTTTAAATAATTTTTGACATTATTTTATAGAAATTCGACTTGAAAGTCTGAATAAGCATGTGTAGTTTGATATTCTTAAAAATAATTTGTTGCCAAATAGACAAAAAGACATCTTTTAGATTATGTATTTTCAAGTTTCCTAATCAAAATGTTTCAGTTTTAAAATAAAAATGATTTCTTTTATGAATTTATATTTTTACCGTTAAACTATCTAATATATTTGACCTTACCAAAAAAATATACTTTTTAAAAATAATCGAGTAGTATTTTTTCCTTAAAGTTCGATTACCTTTGCATGCCCGTTGGAAAAATTTCTTTAATGATTTTCTCCTTGAAACTACGAATTTCTAAAAGAAAAACGTTTTCCTCGCGAGTTAAAATATTTTCTTTTCTTTTTCTCCTAAATATTTCGAATATTTTCAATTTCTCAATTTTTGCATCCATTCATTCTTCTTCTTGACTATTTGATGTATTGTTAAAAAAATTTCAAATTTTATACATTACATGCAAAGATATACGTAATTAAAAACGTCGGGTGACGCACACCTATATGGTTCAGATTCGGGAGACAGAAATAGTACTCTAGCTGAGGGTCAAGTATAGTTAACACAATATTTAGATGTTTATTAAAATTTCTAAACGTATTTGATTTTTTTAAATTTCAGGCACTATCCTTCACACAGCAGTTACAACAATGTTCGAGAGGAGCAAAGAATAGACCACTTAGTAAATTATTATCACCTTTAAAAAGTGAACCACAGAGTCCAATATATGCTTCACCACCACATTCTCCATTGAGCGACAGTTTCATTCCTTACTCACCCACGAATACAAGTCTACCCAGTACTCAAACAGCCGTCAACGTAATACAAAGTCAATTGGGTATATCATTGCTTGTAGGAAATTCAAATATGCCATATAAGACACAAATGGAGGAATATAACAATTCGGCGGTTATATACGAGCCAATCAATATCAAAACCATAGATGAACATAACATTGCTAAACCACTTGAATTAACAAATGAAATGTTAGGTTGGAGCGTTGAAAAGGTAAAAAAAAATGAACGCGATACCTCAAAGACATTCGATAAACGAAATTCAGCCGATACACACTTCTCGCGAGATACTCACATGAAAATAATATTGGGAAATAGCGGAGCTGGCGTTGGTAGAAATGTCAAATATTCAGACCATATACCTGGAAGGTAAGTTAATAGTAATTAAATTATATTATATGATATTATATTAATTATATTAAAGATAATTATTCGTTTTAACGGATGTGGCTTCGGTGAGCTTGGCTTTGACATATTTTGTCGAAAATATCCTGAATAACTTCCAAAATATTTTAGCTGTCGATTTTTATTTATTTAAAGTTATAAACAGAAGAAGTTTAAATAATAAATTGTTGACATTAGTATTGAAGTTTATAATTTGCTAATGTTTATATAAAAACAGCATGCGTGCCGATGAACAAATTTTATTGATTCAGTTGATGGTACTTATAGACAAAATATACAACGCTTATGGTGTGATGTAAGTGGTTCGATGTTTTGATTCAAAATATCACTGTAAATAATACATTGTTGAATTTTTATTGAAATAAAAACATCTATTTAATAAAAGTTGATTTATTTAATGAAAGATTGAAATTCTTTTTTATATAATTTATCACATCTACTCGGACTATAAAGCCCAAAATCGGTTTTCTCTTCATTTGTTATTTTTGGTTCGTTATCTCAGATATCATGTATCTTAATGCATGAGCAAGGCTATCGATGCTATATCCATTAAAACGAATAATTACCTATAAAAACTTGTATCACTTCATTTTAATTGTATTTATTATGGCATACACATTTTAACAAGTTTTCATTGCGATAATATATTCGTCGTCATGTTCAGATATAACAGTAACATCATAGGCTAAAATATCTTTAAATAAATATTCATAATTATAATTAATTTTTTAATAATGCAGACATCAATTAGACTATCAATATTAAGAGAAAAAGTAGTGTCTTATATTAAGTACGCGCAAGCGATGCAAAAACGGAAAAATTGTATTTATATACAGGGTGAAGAAAATTACGATACCATGAAATACATTGAAAAAAAATGTTTTGAAAAACATTAAAAAATTTTTGTAAAATATTAAGTAATATGTTAAATGGTTATGAAAATTAAGTCTTGGATGATATTTCTAAAGACAGATCAAAGACGCTTTGTATTTTTTTATGCACATATACAGAGTGTTTCTGAAATATTATCAAATATCTTAGGAACTTATTTTTTAAATCATTTTATAAAGCAAATTTCATATGGTTATATAATCTTAAAAATTTCGTTTTAGAAATATAGGACATTAAAAAATTCCTTAAAATTATTCTTTTCTTTTAACAGCTTCTGGACAAAAAGACATTTCTCTTTTACATTCGTGTTATTAAATAAACGGTGTATTATATTAATTATTTTATTTTTAATTATTTTTTTTGTCGTTGTTTCGTGAAAACTCAATGACGTTGAAATTTAAATGGTATATTATTGCTTTAAACAATTGTCCTAATGGATAGGATCATTTCTTACAGATTTCTATTAAGCTTAATAAGAGAAAAATACTATTGGTAGATTTTAATAGAGCCATTAATTTAGAAAATATTTATGCTTCAATATTTTAATGTATCTCATTTTATAAAAGAACGCAGGATATGCTTGATTTACTCTAAATTATTTATTTTCAATTAGATATGTGTTTTTTTATTATGATACAGCATTGATTAAAAAAGAAACTTTTTTACTATTGTTTTTTGCTGTTGGTTTCTTAAAGTATTTTATAATATATATCGCGGCGGTATACGGCGTCCGCTTGCCCTCCCGCTCGTACCGCCGCTCACGTATTTCGTGGCATATATTTTAGTCACCCGCCTTCGGATTCTTTGCAACTGTAAGCTCTTGCACATGCATGCATATTATATACAGCCACTTAAATCCGGACATGAAAATTTTTTCTCAAAAAAGTCGTTTATCACAAAAAATATGTAAAAGTACAAAGAGATTATTCTATAATTAAGTTAATAGATCTTTTCTGAGTTTTTTCACTCAATATAGCCGCCCTGCGCCTCGATCACCGCCTCGATCCTGTTCCGAAAGCGCGAGCACGCTGTCTGCAATTGCGCCTAATCCATTTTCGTGAATGCTGCTTCAATAGCGGCCTGGAGGGAGGCCACGTTGAGGTGTCTGGCTTTATTAGTAACCCTCTCGATTACGTTCCACACGTAGTAGTCGAGAGAGTTCAGGTCGGGACTATTCGGAGTCCAGAAATCCTTCGACTAAAACATCTCGACATTGTCCGAGAGCCAGTTCTGCATTAAGTAACTCGTATGAGCAGGTGCGCCATCTTGTTGGAAGAAATACGGCCTTCCTGCAGCCACGTCCTCCATCCAAGGCTTCACTGTAGTCCTCAGGATCTCCATATAAACCTCCTTCGTGACCATTTCCCCCTTCTTAAAGAAATGCGGTGGCATAATGTCGCCCTCATTCGAGATGACACTTAGGACGTGGACACTAGCCGGAAACTTTGTCCTGGCCACCTCCGAGGCCGCGTATCTCTGGATAATGTCATATACCGTCAACCTAGGATATTCGAAGAACTTGATTATTTCGCTTGATGTCCTTCCGGCGCGGACACCTTCAATAACCACCGCTCTTCGGTTATATTCCGATGTCAACTTGAACGACTTGACTATTTCGAGGTTATTAACATCTTACCCACGTCTCTGGCCTACCTTTACGCCATCTGGCACCTACTGTTGGATTCTAATATAGCGGGAATGTCAAATTCAAATTTGTCCGGATTTAATTGGCGGATCCTGTATCAAGGACTGTACTATGTAAAGAAACGGTAAAAATGAATATTCTATCGAAATAATAAAATACAACAAATAAACGGTAAAAAGCGGTTATTGAAACGATTATTAATATTTTGAAATGGGATTCTTGAGACTATGTGTTCATATAAACATTTCTTCATACAATTATTTAAAAAATCAATTCCTAAATATTCCTAAATATTTCTAAATATTTCTAAATTTCCTAAATATTCCTAAATATTTGACTGACAGTACTTAAGAAACACTCTATATATTTCTTGTTGTGTCTCTTGCTACATTTATATTAAATACAAAGCTCCTTCGAAATAATATAATTATATCATTCTTCTTTAAGAACCTTATAATAGGGGAAATATTCTACATTTGAATTTTAATTTAAATAGAATTTAAATTTTATTCAATTTAAATAAAATTTAATTTTTATACTTAAATTTAATTTTAATTTCATGAAAATTATGATGTGCGTAGAATAGTCAAATATAATAGACCCGTATTTTTTTAGTATTGAGATGTAAGTTTAAAATGTGAATCACACACACTCCCCAAAGTTTCATACCTTTCTGTTATCTCAATAGATATTAAAGCTTTTTAAAAAAAATATGCGGCTTTTCAATGCAAAATATAATAGATTACATATATAAACAAAACAATTTTTCAAACAATTAACAAAATATCGTTTGTTAACATTAATTTTTAAATTATTAAAATTGTTATAAAAGAAAAATATAAATTTTAAAAAAATTCGGTTCAATTTTTGTGAGTTCATCTATCATAATGTAAATTAATAACTATTGCCATCTTTAATACTTTTAAAACAAAAAGCAAAAATGATCTTAATATCTTTTAGCTACTTTTTTAAAAGAAAAACGTAACCATCATAAGAAATTCTTTTCCTAAGTAGAATAACTTGAAAATTCAGTAATCGCTTTTCTTTCTTGCTTTGAAGGTATTTAAGTTGGCAATAGGTATTGTCTGATCCTGCGTATATTGTTCTATATACAGAGTGTTTCAGAAATAGATGCCCAAGCTTTAAAAGCATATTTTACACACTCTAAAGAAAAAAGGTCATATAAACAAATATCCGGAAATATTTCTTTTCCAAATTATAAACAACTTTTTATTTACAACAGACTTTGGTACATTTCACTTTTTATTTACAACAAACTTTGGTATATTTTATTTAAAAAATTGTTGAAAATGATTTCCTTCCTCATTAATGCATGCCTCGCATCGACATCTCATAGATTGTCGCAGACGCTCAAAAATTCCCGAAGTATCGTGTATTTTGTCACGATTTTGAAGCACTTTTACAGTAGCAACAGCAATATCATAAAAGAGAATTTTAATATATCCTTATAAATAAAAATTCAAAGAATTTAAATCAGGAAATCGTACAGGCCAAACAGGTCTTCTTCTGCCAAGCCATCTTTTGGTGTAATTAATATTCAGAAACTTTCGAGCAACGCAATTAAAATGTGCTAGGTTTTCATCATGCATAAACTATATTTGATTATGTATTTGTACTGGAATAGTAATTGTAGTCTTCTAGTAATGTAATTGTGTTCCCAAAAATTGTTTGTAATTATTACTATTAAGTGTAAATAGGAGAAACACCGGTCTAACAAATCTCCAATAATACCAGCCCATATATTGCACGAAAATTCATGCTGATCCCGAGATTCAATAATATCATGCGGACTTTCATACGGCTATTAATGATTATTATGATAATTTATTATAGTATTCTACGAATATTGTGCTCTTTGTCTATGAAAATTATGACATTTTAAAATTTGGTAAAGTGCATTATTGTAAGTATCACTAAGTATATATTACTCATGATGGATAATAAGCTAGCAAGAGAACATATACTCGTGTGTGGTAGGGATACAAAACAGCTTTGTTCATAACGTTCACAGTTTCACAGTTTCGTATTTCTAATGCAATCTGTCTTGTGCTGAGTCTTAGGTTTTTTTCGACACTTTCTAATCATTTGCTTCTCGATTGTAGATGTTCAAATATTTCTGTTTCATTTTCGATTAATTTTACTTGGTAAGGAAAATTCTATTTCTCTGATGATATACCGAAAGTTGACCGAAATAAAAGTATTTTTAGCAGGATATTATTTTTAAGGAAAAATTTATCGATAAAGACATTGAGCTTTCCTGCAATTTTCATTAGCTCTCCTATATATGTAGTGGATATCTGCCTATTCTATGTTAGAATAAATTGCTATATTTACATTGTCTTAACTCTTAAATGATTAAAGACTTATTTCAATGCCAAACAAATTTACTTGATAACTTGTTTATTGCTAACAGAAGTTGAATAAAGGATGCATGACACGTCAGTGCAAAATGTGTTGTCTGTTATAAATAAAAAATATTTACAACTTGTACAGGAAGCGTTTCTGGATTCATATTTATATGACATTTTTCCTTGCAATAAATTAGAATATGCTTCAATAAGTAGAATATGCTTCTAAAATTTGATCACCTACTTCCTAAACACCCTGTATAAATTATGCGAATCTATAGAAATATAAGAGAACGCACTTCCATAGACTGCATACATGCCAGCGTACGCAGATGTTTTACCATTGCATTATATATATTGTTGCACGTATGTCTCATATTTTTTGGCAACATTTTTAAGTTATTACTAAATAAGCGTTGCAAATAAAAGTGACTTAGAATTATTAATACATATATCAATGAAATTGTTTTGCAACATTCAGTACATGTATGCATATTAGATGATAAATATATGTAATAAGTATAAAAATAAAACATTAAAGGAGAAATAGTTATATGATATGCAAAGATAAATAAAGTGCTAAAACTGTTTCCAATAATTTCAACAGTAGAGTGATATTTGTAACAAAAAATTTGAAACATAAATATTTGTTAAAACTAACATATTTATTATTATATCACTACAAACACTATATTGTTACGTCCCGAGGACCTCGGCCCGTATTTCTTTCGCATTACTTTTCTCCCTTCTCCTTTCCTTTCCTTTTTCAATTTGCTCTTTTCTCTTTTATTTCTTTTTCCTCTACTGCTCTTTTCCTCCCTCATCCCCTCCCCATCCCTATTTTGTCGAATGTGAATATATTATCAATTATTATGCGCGAAATAGGAAATAGATAATTTTAAGCATTCCACGTATAAAATTATTATCAGAATATTTCCAGAGTCAAATTTAATATCTGTGTCTTATCACCGTAGCCCAGCGACTTTTTAACTTCTTAATGTATTGCGCATTTTATAACACCATTCGCTGCTGAGCTTTGCGTTTTAGTCCTGTAAGAACAGATGTGCATAATTCATCTCTAACTGGACACCGAAAAACAGGAGAACATCAGCGACAAGGCTTGTCAGCGTTCCTACCGAAAAACCGCTGACCCGGCACTTCGCGAGAAGAACCTGTGAGCGCGGATTTCTAAACCGCGGCAGTCAGTTATCATCGAGTATTTACGCGAAAACTTTCAGAGACGTTCGTGATTACTCATTCAAAAATTCTTAAGTCATCCAGAATTCGCGAGACGGTCGTTTTTAAATCCTTCTAAGTCTTATCCCTGTAGCTTACAAAGACGGTCGAACTCCGTCATCGTTTCTTTTCAATCTTCGGTGCTACTCTATTCAAGTGTTTGAACGTCTAGTTGCACCCTTTATATCAGAATAACCACATGTCCATTCACACGCGATCTTATTCGCGTTCGGTCGCGAGTGAAACATCCTACAACGATGATACAAACCTAGTGTGTGCGAGTGAATATTATTCAGGATACTATTCAAAATCTTCTTGAGACTCGATCGAGACTCGTATCCCTCCAAGCAACCGCGCCAACCAAAGAGGAATACTTAGTGCGCTTCCTCTGTTCTCGCAAAGTACCGGGTATCGTAATCAGTTCATTGATCGTCGTAAGAGTAAGTCTCTCCACATCCATTGTACTCAGCGTCTAGTTACCGCTTCGATGACACAATCGAAATATTGCCATTTTCGAAGAACGTTCAAATTGTACATCGCGAGCTCCCCCATCAATAAACCTCATCTAGGCTCCTTTTACTCTTCTATTTCGTAATTTTTCGTTCATCTTCTCCCATTCCCTAACTTGTCCCGTCAACTCAGTATGAAATACTCTGTAAGGGCAAGCTCTTGCAGGATCTCGAAGCTCGATCACTAAAACCTAGCATGGCGGAGCCGCTCCCGTCGTGCGTGTCGCAGAACCTCGCGTGGACGTGACATAAAAATCTGGTGACAGCGGTGGGATCGAGCATCGCACATCGGATATTTATCGGAATAAATCGAAAACCATGATTTTCGAATACCTCGGTGAAATCGATAACTTTCATTTCGCCAGAATTGAGACCGATTTCCTTAGCCGCCTCGATCGCCTTACTCGCAATTGCCTTATCTTGCGTGCTACCCAGTTAGTTGTCTCTCAATTACCCATTAGAAACTTGGAGCATCCTAAATCATCGCAAGTTCCTTATTCCGACGATTCTCATACTTCCGAAGACCCGAGTTCGCCATTCGATCCTAGCATCATGCCTCCAACGACCCTTCGTTTAAATCTCGAATCTACTCCAACCGCTCCTCCCGCGTCTGCATACGCAACCTTGCCGTCCGCGGATTTAAACATTCTCTGCGATATGTTGGAGCGAGAAGCCCATTGGAAAAAACGGATCTCTACCATAGAGGATCTTGTTTTAAGTTTGACGACTCATAATTTGCCAGGAGACCCTTTTTCTACATCTACCCCTCTTTCCCAAGGCCCCTGGCAGGCCTCTACGTTCACTCCTCCCGCGGGAACATATCCTTCACAGCCGTCGTCCTCTGTATCATACCCTTCCGCCGCCGCTTTCGCACCCTCATTTCCTCTCTCTAACCCACCGTGAACGAGACGCTCGAACTAGTCCCGAAATTTGACGGATACAATATCCCAGTTTTGCAATTCGCGCACGCTTGTAAACGAACAAAAGAATTCCTACTCTTTACCAACGAGACATATCTCGTCCAAGCACTTCGTAATAAGTTAACCGGATACGCGTATCTTGCCGTAAAAGATAAAACGCACAAAACCACAGACGAATTTATAAATCGTCTCAAACGCGTTTTCGGATCCACTCAAAATTCAAATTATTATCGCGGACGACTTAGCATAAATTTTATGAAGGACAACGAGCACGTCATGGACTACATCGGCCGCGTCAAAGATTTGCGTAGCGTTGTCATTAAAGCCGACCAAGAGATTTACAATCGCGCTCTCACTCATAGGGAGATTTCGTATATACAAGGTATCCCGAACTTCCATGATGACATTTGGGGAAAACATAGAACGGATTGAGGTAAGCAAGAAAGTCCTGTGCCGTTTTACGATATTCGCAATAGTTTTTGAGAAATTAATTATTGTGTCTCAACAAATCAGCATACAGAAAGCGGCAGCGGAAAGAAAGATGCCTTCGGCCGACGTGCGACTGACACTCGCGAATCGCATCTCGCCGTGTCCCTCCGCCCATAACGAGATATAGCGAAGCTTGATACACTGACACATATGCATGACATATCCGTGTACCTAATCGAAGCGTGTCGCCGCTTTGGCTGCATACATGTATGTAGAGATGATACAGCGAGCGGCGTGTAACACAAAATCGTGTGCCCAAAGATAATTATCTTTCGTTTTCTTGACGCCGTAGTAGAAAAGTAACATCACGCGATTACATTTAGAAGATTATTTTATAAGACAGGTCACATTAAAACCATAATGTTTTCCTGTGATTAAAAAAGATAGGAAGAAAGAAAGCGATAGAAACTGAAAGAATTTGCAGAAAATCTATCGTCTCTATCGTAACTGTTTATAAATTTGTGCTAAATTTTGACATGAATTTACACAAACGATAATTTTGTTGACGAATGTACTTAGCCAAAGCATGTTACGCTTTTTGTAAGAAGACGATAGAAAAACACCTATTCTTGGCGTAACCACTTGACGATAGATTATGATGCACGCTTTCTATCGTAATTATACATACAAATCAAATATCGTTCGTACACAATCGAGAACGATAGGTTTTCTTTATACGATAAAGAACTTTGAGTTTCTCCCACGTTAATACACCATAAATTAGGATAGATTTCCAGTGATTTTTTTCATGATAAATTCAAACAAAACGATAGGACACGACAAGTATCTAAAAATTCTATCATATTAACGATTTAATCCTCCTAACAGAGCACGATAGAAAACGATTTCATTTTTTGCGTATTCGATACATGCAAATGATACGATAGAGAAACAATTACGATAGAGAACAGTTAAATTTTCTACAAATCTTTTCACTTTCTATCGCTTTCTTTCTTTTTATTTTATTTAATCACAGGAAAACATTACCGTTTTAATATGAACTGTCTTATAAAGTAATCTTCTAAATGTAATCGCGTGCTGTCACTTTTCTACTACGACGTCGAGTAAACGAAAGATAATTATCTTTGGGCACACAATTTTGTGTTATATGCCGCTAGCTGTGTCATCTCTACATACATGTATGCAGCCGAAGCGGCGACACGCTTCGATTCGGCACATGGATATGTTATGCATATACAGGGTGTAACAAAAGTATCAGTACCCTTAAATAAATTTCCAGGATCGCATTTTCCGAGAAAATCATTCCGACCAAAGTTGCATAGTTTTGACCTAGCGATTCGATGGTGACCTTGTCTTTGACCTCGAGGTTATTTTTCGAGGTCATTTCAAGGTCAACTTTTTTTTTTAATGGAAACCTTCATTTTTTATTCCAGAATCGGAAAGAGCGGAAAAATTTACATTCAGATATGTATTTGACCCATGGGTCCAAGGGACCCCTCAAGGTCATTTCAAGCTCACATTATTTAAGCATAGTAATGAATTACA